GGTGCTGGCCTCCAGCTGGGCATAACGTTTTTGGAGGGTTAAGTCGGCTGACCAGAGCTTGGCTATCATGGACACATTCAGGAAGCGATCAGTGGGCAATCGCTTCAGGAAGGCTTTGAATTCATCTGTAGGGAATTCAGCAGAGACAGAGAGAAGGAGAAAACAACAAAGTTAGTCTCAGGTAATTTATCACAATACAGTTTTTGAGCAGTGAAAGCCTATTCATCACATTCCATTTTACCCCTGCTAGCATGCAGGAAAATGACAGAGAAGCTGGGGAGTTTCACGTGTCATTAGAATTTAAAAAAAGCTGTTATGTTATAATGAATCACAATTACAAAGCAAATACCTGCGCTTTAAACGGCAGTTATACTCATTCACTTCTCCATTAGAATCCCATCTTATTCACTGTAGCATCATTGTCATTAAGCAACACTATTTATGTGACGATTTACCGTATGGTGTCACATACAGATGGCCATCTTTAAAAGCCTAAACAAGTTAAGAGAGCATCAATTATCACGAGCTGAACACACTACTAAAAGCATGTGGTAATGAGGAAAAGGTTGTCTTCTGTCATTGTTTGTTGTGTTACTTTTATATTTATATATTAATATACTTGCATGAAGTATGGAGACGTGTGCTACATCTATGCCACTTTGTTCAAACTAGTATTTTTGTGCCCATGGAACACAAAAGCTCGAGACAAAATTTTAAGCCCCTGCCATATTCCAATCTGTGTCATCTGACATATGAGAAGTTGTTCTTTAACTGTATTTTCAGGAGAAAGTGCTTTTGATCATCTGCTCTTTTTTAGTTTCTTTGCAATAAGCACCACTACCATATTGCCTCGTTGGTCTTGCGGTATCTGATTTAAAACTCTTTAACAATAGGCTAAGTATCTTTGAGAAGGGAGTTCTGTGACAAATGACACACACAATGATTTTCTTTTTTCTGTGGCTACTCGTCCCACCTTGTTCACCAAGTATGTGATCCTTTAACCTCCTCACTAATTTCATCATTGCTATCGTTTAGAGCCTTCTATGATTGTGAGTTTATCTTTGCTTTTAGTCCCCGGTGCCTCATGATGTCAGGCAGCCAGTTGTCCTGTTACTGTTTGGTTTTGTATTTTGCCCTTTGTTTTTTTTTTGTCCCCATTTTTACCTGCATTAAAGATGTGATTTTGAGTTCATCTCCATTTTGCCAAGTCCTGCATTCTGGGGTCCTCACTGTATTTCCCATACATCATAACATTATTGATAAATATGAATAATCTGTGACACAAAAACTTCAACTCTCAAACATCAAGAGCGAGTTGCTTCAGGCACACTTGTGAACTATGCATTTCAAATTTTTCATGCGTGACAAACCAAACCCACTCACGCAAACTCACTTAATGAAATAGGAGTGTTACCCAAGCTTGATTTACACATTTAAGCAACATTCTGCACAGTGCAGCATACTGTCACTACACTACATTTTAACATATACAGTGGCTCAGCACTGGAGCCCCCCAGGGGTGTGTTCTGAGCCCCCTGCTGTACTCTTTGTACACATATGACTGTGTGGCC